AAATTCGTTACCAGTCTTATTACGTCATGCAAGGAATGCCTGTACATTTTGGTCTCGGTATCCCATCATTCCTTTCGCTCGCTCTCTAAAAAGACTGGGGCGAGTTACAAGTCAAAAGTGATTTCACAGTATATAATCACTCGAATGATTTTAATAAATAAATAATTTCTAATAATTAATTACTAAATCGCCCATTCACATAAAGTGTGTCTGTGGCGACACCTCTGTTAATACGAAGAGGTAGATACATGTATATATTTATAATAAGATTATTATATTGACTAGCATCCTAGATGACTTGTTCCCAGGGTCTACTCATCCAGGTGATACAGAGTGTGCCTGGGAAACGATGTAGTATGATAATATTAATTTAGCGAAAAGTATTTTTAGAAAATTGTGATTCAAAATATGTTTTTGAGACAACAACGTGAGGCATCACTTGTACTGAGGCTTCTCGACGTTAAGGGGGGTACACAAACCGTCGGGGAAGAGGGGTTACAAATAATTCCCCTGTACTTCCCCCTAATAAATAAATTGATATCCTTGTGAATAGCAGGGAGCGATATATATTTCTTAACATTTAATTCAAATTATTTTGCTATATTAGTAATCATCAAATAGCTTTTAAATACAATTAATGATAATTCATTCTCGATCTGAAATAAAAAGTGTCTGCCTTTTTCGTTAACACGTTTAGTCTTTTATAATCTGACACCCTTGAAGTACGAAATGAAAGTAAGGAACAACACAGGGATCAAAACCATGGACTATAGTCTATGCGTTTTTCCCGAGAATGGCAAAAAATGCGCTAATTTGCATCCTTCATAAACAATGTATGTCTTTTCAAAAGGTATAAAATTGTCTCAAAATCGATCAAAACCATGAGCTATAGTCCATGCTTTTTGCTCGAAAATGGCCAAAAATGTGCTAATTTGCATCCTTTATGAATAATGCATATCTTTTCAAAAGGCGTAAAAATGGCCAAAAATCAATCAAAACCATGGTCTATAGTCCATGCTTTTTGTACGAGAATTGCCAAAAATATCGTACCTTTTATCCTTTATAAATAATAMATATCTTTTCAAAGTTACGTGTGAAAATGGCCCAAAATTCAGCAAAACCATGATCTATAGTCTATGGTTTTTGCCCGAAAATGGCCAAAAATGAGCTACTTTGTCTTCACCATAAATAATGCACATTTTTGAAAAGGTGTGAAAATGGACCAAAATCCATCAAAACCATGGTCTAAAGTCCATATATTTTACCCGAAAATGGACTATTTTGCATCTTTCATAAATAATGCATATCTTTTCAAAAGGTGTGAAAATGGCCCAAAATTCATCAAAACCATGGGCTAAAGTCCATGCTTTTT